CTGGCATCCCTTTTAGTGAAGGTGCGTCCTCCAGCACACCCCTGTTCTCGGGACTCTGCTGCAGATGAATCCCTAGGAAGCCGTGGAGACACTAGAGCAGGTGTGTGAGAGAAAAGGGGAGTGCGTGGGGAGAGAATTGGTGATTTTTCCCAGGACTGGAGGAAGCCCTGAAAATGGATACTGAAGATGTGGCTTTCCCCTAAGCCCACACGCAGGGCTGGCATGTCTGCAGCGTCGCACCGCCATGGAATATGTCCTCTTCGTGCTGTACTTCTCTTTCTTCCTGTGTCTCTGCACCCTGGTGTGCCTGTACTTCTCTGGCTGCCAGGAGATGACCTATAAGCATGAAGGTAGGCGGCTGGTTCGGGGTTTTGATTTTTGAGGTTCTGTGGCGGTCCCTGGTTGTGACCGATGCTCCTGCCTGTGACAGGCAGTTCTGTTGAAAATGACAGGAAAACGAGAAGACAGACAGCAGAGACAGGCTGGATCCAGTTGAGGGACTACTTGTTCTGAGGGGTACCTCCTCTTTTTCCCTCTGCATCATTTGACCTGCCAAGGAAGACCACCTCTGTATAGTCAAAGTGTAAATGGAGGAGGCATGTTTACTCTTCATTCATTTTGCCACAACTGACTTTTGGTTTTTTTTGAGACAGGATTTTGGTCTGTCACCCAGGGTGGAGTGCAGTGGCACAATCACAGCTCACTGCAGCCCCAACCTCCCAGGCTCAAGTAATCTTTCCACCTCAGCCCCCCAAGCAGCTGGGACTACAGGCATCAGCCACCAAGCTCAGCTAACTTTTTAAACAACTTTTTGTAGAGATGACCTCTCACTATGTGGCCCAGTCTGATCTTTAACTCCTGGGCTCAAGCGATTCTTCTGCCTCAGGCTCTTAAAGTGCTGGGATTATAGGCATGAACCACTGTGTCCGGCCAAAACGGAATCTTAATCTGAACCTGGATGCATTTGTAAAAACAAATCAACAAGGAGAGGCTTTGGTTCAAGGAATATGGGAGGCTAGAGGAATTAGCCTTTTTATTCAGTAGATGGGCTCAGAATGAGCAAATGGTGGACATTTTTGCTCCTAAAGTATCTCTTGTGAGGAAAAACCCAGAGACTCTTACAACAACTGGACAGTTTTTTTCATGCTTGCAATTTTTTTTTTTAAGCCCACTATGTGCCATGCATGAGAGGAAACAATGTTTTCTGGGCAGTTTTCCCCTCATCCCTTGAGAAGCAGGTGGTGAATTATTTCCTGCATATTTGGAAAATGCAGCAAAACCAGGTGCATTGCCTTCAAGGAAGACAGCCACTGTGTTTCCACCTGTAGCATTCACATATCGTTCCTATTTTTGTTAATAAAGGTACAAATATTTCTAGATATTGAGTATATATAGGCTTCCTGCATAATAGAATCACTCAAGAAAACTATTCTTTAAAGAAAACAAACTAACCTAGTGCTGTAAAATGTTATAAAAAAGTTAAGGCCAGACGCGGTGGCTCATGCCTGTAATCCAGCCCTTTGGGAGGTTGAGGTGGATGGATCACTTGAGGTCAGGAGTTCGAGACCAGCCTGGCCAACATGGTGAAACCTCATCTCTACTAAAGAAAAAACTATACAAAAATTAGCCAGGTGTGGCAGGTGTGGTGGCGTGCACCTGTAATCCTAGTTGCTTGGGAGGCTGAGGCAAAAGAATCATCTGAATTTGGGAGATGAAATTTGCAGTGAGCTGAGATTGTGCCACTGCACTCCCTCCTGGGCGACAGAAGGTGACTTTGTCTCAAAAAAAAAAAAAAAAAAGTTAAAATGTTTTTAAAAATACCCAGCATAAAGACCTGAGTGGCTGGGTCCCAGGCAGCTCCTTTCTGCTATGGAAACTGCATGTGTGGCATCTGGCCATGGATTCCTCTCCATTGCTATAGGATTCAGATTGGACTGCCTTTTTGTGTTTGGTTTCTGCCCTAAGAGCAGCTTCTTTCCCTTCAAGCAGCATAGTTCTGTGGAGTCTTGGCCTCTGGGGCCATATGATATGATAATTTCAGGGGCTCCATTGGGTCTGGAGTTAGGCTGTTTGCAAAGGCTGCTCTACTTTAAACACAGGCGGCAGCATCGGTAGTTAATGCCCTGTCTTTGGGCTTGATAGTTGAGTCCTTAACTAGCGTCTGGTGGAGGCTTAACATGTAAATCATCCTAGGTAATTGAACACTGAGTTCTTGGCCCGAGGAAGGTACCTGACGCTGACGTGGATGGTCACAGCCCAGCAGTGTGTCCTAAACATTTGGAAAGTGTGTGACTTGATGATGCTTCCTGGGCTGCAGCAACAAACAGACCCGTCCCCAGAGGCCTTGCAATTAGCAGTGTTTACAGGAAATAAGGTCGGCTCAGCGGCTGCTCAGAAAAATGTGGAACCTGGAGCTCAGCGGGGTGACCTGTGTGTGCAGAAGAGTTTGAGTACTGCAGATGCGTTACTCCTATGGGTGCCATTGTCACCTTGGGATGTCACTACCACTGTTCTCTAGAGCTCATTGGAAGATTCCATGATACCTGAAGTCAGGTGGGAGTCTCATCCGGAGGGGAGATTTGAGTAGATGATTGTCTCCAGCCTCTGTGAGGAGAGAAATGACATTGAAATCGATGGTGCCCATAGTCCTCACATACCTGCCAGTCAGACTCAACTAGGGCATGTAACCACATGGTGCCCAACTGATGCCAGCTGTGTGAATGAATGGAAAGGGTGTTATGTGCAAACCAAATTCTGTTTGTGATAGACGAACTAGTGTGGCTTTGAGTTCATTAACACTGGGATATAGTAGGGAACAAAAGGGCCAACCCCCTGCCTTCATGGAGCTTCCATTCCAGGGAGTGGGGTAAAGACTGTCAGTAAACACAGTAGCTTCCTGGATCTTATGTCAGGTGGGAGACATGCTATGGAAAGGAATAAAGAAGGAGGCCGAGAGGCTGGGGTGGGGTTGGGGCAGGAGGGACCTGGGCACGGTGGCCAGGAGGCCTTTTCTCATATGGTTGCATTTGTGCAGATATCTGAAGGAATCTAGGGAAGGAGCCATGCGGATTCTGGGGAAGAGCCTCTTGGAGTGCAAAGGCCCTGTGGCAGGTGTGTGGGGGGTGCAGGAGCCTGGCGTGGAGGAGGAGAGGAGAGGAGGAGAAGGAAGGCATGATGCCAGGGCGGGATGGGAGGTAGATCCTGCAGGCCCCGCAGACACTTGTAGCCTGCATGGGTGTTGGTGGTTGTAATAATTCCAGAGGGAGATGTTGGTGGCTGGGACTGAATGGTGTCAGTGGAGAGAGTGGGGGAGAGGGCTGGATTTTGAGTTGAAGGTGAAGCCAACAGGGTTTCTCCCAGAGAGGGCAGGCATGAGAGGTGGAGAACAGAGAGGAGGACTCTCCTAGGATTGGGGCCTGAGCAACTGAAGCATGAGCTGCTGCTGCTGGACTCCAGTTAGATGGCAGGAGGCGCGGTGCTGGGGGTAAGTCACTGCCCACTAGGATTCCACGATGCCATGGAGGACGCAGCTGACCAGTGAGCCTGGAGTTCTGTGGGGAGTTCATGCCCCATGCATATTAAAAAGCAAGGAGGAATGTGGGGTGGATGCAGTGCACAGAAAGACAGGTGCCAAATGCAAGAATGTTCTGGGTGACGTGTAGTGGTGGGTGCCTCCCTTGAAGCCCCTTCAGAAACTGTGTAAGGTGACAAGGATGTCCCTGCATCTTCTTCCCTGCCTTATGTCTGAATTATTTCCTAATTGCATTATTAACTCTGGTGTCTGTCACATTTTTCTCACATTTACAGACATTTGAGTAAAACACACAGGCTGGGAGGGGCCCTTAGTATGTGGGGAGTGCCTGGCTTTTCTCTGTGAGATGGGGGAGCTCTGGGAGAAGCTGGGTTCTGGATGAGCCAGCAGAGCCTGGGGCTGGGCTCTGGAATTTAGTTTTTATTCCTTCTTCATGGTCTGAAAAGCGTTCATTGATTGTAAAAACAAATAAAATCCTTGTCAGGGCTGTTTGGGAAAAAAAAATCCTAAAATAAGGGACGTTGATCTGGTGATTGTGGGTCGATGTCTGCAGCCCCCAGGGGATGCGAGCTCCTTGGGGCAGGGACTTAGCCTGGTTTTGATCCTGTTGTATTCCCCAGGCCTGCCCCATGTCTATCCCATAGAAGGAGCTAAGCCAGTGTTTGCTGAGTGAATGAATGGATAGACAGATGAATGAAGCCCCATAGCCTATGATATTTGAAGTGGGAGAAGTGCCGGCAGGGCAACTCAGAGGCTGGCACATAGAGGCTTGCAATTTGCCTCTGGATCTGAGTGATAGGCACCTGAAGGTTGATTACACTATTCCTTCTCATTCTGTGGATGTTCCCAGTTTTCTATAATAAGAAGTTAAGCAGAGATTGCCTCTTAGTGTAGGTCTGGCCGGGACTTGGGCCATGCATTTGCCATGCTAGTCAGAGCGCTGGAACTGTGGATGAGTTCTCCACTCCTTCAAACTGTTGCCCCCTCTGGTGTCCATATTCATCCAGTTCTCCTTGGAACCGGACATTTCCCTGGGCCCTGTCCCCCCTTCCCCTTGGTACAGCCAGTGCGCTGCTCATGGGGCATGATAGCATGCTGGGCTGCTTTCTGGGCACAGGGCATGCATGGCTCCTTTTTTTGCTCACAGGTGAGGTGGCTTCTCACTCCATTTGCCAGAGGAGGAGGCTGGTGCTCCAGGGGCCAGGTGGTTTGCACAGGTCTACAGCTGGAGAACTTGGGCCAGGGTCAGACTAGCTCACTTGGGCTGTAAACCCTAGGGTCATCCGCCACCTGCTGCCACCTTTTCTCCCACTCAGTCAGCTACAAAGCCCACCAACCGCATCTTGGGATACTCCAGTGGCCCAAATGCCAACCATTGCCCCCCGGTACTGGCATGCCCAAGACCAGGGGCTGGTGGACTCTGGGAATCCTCAGTCATTGCTAACATCATGCAAATTGCATTTTACAGAAGCATGTTGTGGAGACATTTTTTGGATTTGATGAGGAGTCTGTGGACTCAGAAACGTTGTCCGAAACATCCTATAACACAGACAGGACGGACAGGACCCCAGCCACGCCTGAAGAAGACTTGGACGATGTAAGCAAACCTGCAGAGGGGGCGGGGCCTCACCCCAGATGCTCTTGGGCAGCACCTCCTGCCTTTGGCGGTTGCAAGTTCTGCTCCCTTGCCTATAGTTTTGAACCCCAGAGGACCCGTTCCTACCAATGCATTATGAAAGCTGATAGCATGAAGGGGGAAGGCAGCCCCCACGGCTGTGGGCTCCATGAATGGCAATGGGAGGGCAGCACGTGGGGACCCTTTCTTTCCCCAGCACTGATTTCTCCATCAAGGCAACCTGTGACTGCCAAGTTCAAGTTGAGTCATTGATAGATGTCACCTTGCGTTTCCTCACTGTTTGCAACTAAAACTGCCACGTGATGGTCTCTACCTGGTCCCCATGCATGTGTGCACACATGCACACACCACCTGGCAGAAACAGCGTCATCCCTTTCTTGACTAAGATAAAGCAAGTAATCAAAAAAAAATATAAAGAAGAAGGTGACAAGCCCCTGAAGTCCCATCACCCCAAGGTCACCGCCTAACCCTGTCCCGACCATCTGTGCCCATCTGAGTGCACAGCCAGGTTCTTGAGCCAGCTGGATTCACAAGGGGACAAAGACTGGCTTTGATCTCACTCACCTCCCCAGGTGAATTCTTTCAGGTGTGCTGAGTACATCTCAGGCAGACCTGTGGGCCTCTACACCTTCCAGTGACAGGAATAGTCACATTTGATTAATTTCCTAAACTCCAGACTTCATTCAACACAGACCTTCCCCTTGCTCCTCACCGGGGCCTGCGCCAGGCTTGGCTGCCATTCCCCTACCTCACTCTTCTGCCTCTCCCCATTGCAAGCCCCTGGTGGCTTCTTCTGAGCCCAGAGAAGGGCCAGAATGGGAAGGAGGTGCGGATGTGCCAGGGCAGCTGGCCCTCGGGGCAGTGTCCTCTTGTGGGGCAGGTGGATTGTGCTTCCCCTCAGGGTACACCTCTCTGGGTCTCCAGGAATTCTCCTTGCTGTGCTGCACTCCACGGCTTCCTGGTGAGGGACTGGGCATTGCTGCTCCTGGTGTCCCAGGAGTCTGAATGATAAGCCTTACACACCCCCCCCTCATTGTTCTTTCCCTCTCCTGGTGGCCTTTTCTGTGGAGTCCCTTCTGGAATGACTTCTAGGCTGGTTCTCTCGCATGGATCTATTTGCCACAGGAAAATGTGGCACCTGCTGTGGGCACTGGCACATCCAACCTCAAGATGGCCCTCTCTGTGCTCTTCCATCTTGTGCCGAAGCTCTAGTGGACACGTGTCACCTCTGCAGGTCATCCCCTTGACATCCGTTCTCATGCTGGGAGAAACATACCATCCTCCCCATCAGCCCACCAGCCTCAGCCCAAGTGCTGGCTGGAGGGAGGGGCCTGGCCGGTGCTGGAGACACAGCACAGTCCATCAGCGTGTCCTGCACAGGGGTCTGGACTGTTCTGCACAGGGGTCAGCCTTACGGGCCTTGTTCTCAGCCATGGGTTTTTTATGTTTAACTTAAAACAGGACAGGTGCTTTTCAGTTTGCTTGTTTCTAGCCAGTGATACGTAATAGGCATCTTTCAGCACCAGACATGGGATTCTGTCAGCCTCTCTCATGGCCACACGGGGCTTTCCCATGGATGAGCGTCAGGCACTGATGAGGGATTTATGCTGTCATTTTCCACACCTGTGAACCGTGTACAGAACTCCTTCTTATTTGCACCTTTGTACACTTATGTGGCCATGTGGCCACCTCTCTCTTTTTTTTTTTTGGAGACAGAGTCTAGCTCTGTCACTCAGGTGGGGGTGCAATAGCATAATCTCGGCTCACTGCACCCTCTGCCTCCCAGGCTCAGGAATTCTCCTGCCTCAGCCTCCCGAGTAGCTGGGATTACAGGTGTCCACCACCATGCCCAACTAATTTTTGTATTTTAGTAGAGATGAGGTTTCACCATGTTGGTCAACCTGGTCTCGAACTCCTGACCCCAGGTGATCCGCCTGCCTTGGCCTCCCAAAATGCTGGGATTACAGGTGTGAGCCACTGCACCTGGCCATCTCTTTAGGATAAATTCCCAGAATAGGAGGTGCTGGGTGGGAGGGGGCACCCTTTACAACAGAGACCTCTGCTTCTGGAGTTGCATGGTACCTGCCCTTTCTCTCCCAGCTGCTCCCTCACATAACTCAAGTGATTCTGAGAGTGGGAGCTCCTGGGAGAAGCGCTGATGGCTGAGGAGGCACCTCCTCCCGGCAGCCCTCCCTCCAGTGCCCTAGTGGCTTCCTGGCAATGTGGGGCTCCCTAAGCACTTGCTGGCAGCGCTGTGAGATGTGGCCGTTTGATGTTGTCTGAGTTTAGCCTGGTACTCAAAGCCACAGCAAGTGATTATTTATGTTTATAATTATAATCAGTCATAAATCATTTATTATTGTAATTATGCCCTTGGTTATATTTTTCTCCGTTATGTGAAGACCACAGCCCGAGAAGAGGCTGACCTGCGCTTCTGCCAGCTGACCCGGGAGTACCAGGCCCTGCAACGTGCCTATGCTCTGCTCCAGGAGCAGGTTGGGGGCACGCTGGACGCAGAGAGGGAGGCCCGGGTGAGTGCAGCTGGCCTCAGGGCTCGAGGGAGCAGCCTAAGACCAGGTCATGCAGGTCTTTTCCTGGCTTGGACACTCAGAGGAGATTATTCTGAGAGCTGGTGGGGAACCTACAGCAAGGTCTTCGCTGTAGTGGCGTTCCAGATCCCTCTCTGCATTCTCGGTGTGATGGCAGGAGCTCTGGAACATCGAGCTGTTAGAGGAAGCAGCGCTACACATCACCTGTGCTGTCTGCGTGGAGGAGAGCACGCGTTCAGAATTTAAGGCTAAGTGATGAAATCACAGATGTGGCCGGCCTTGCAGGCTTCAGGCTCCTCTCCCTCCTGAGAGCCCCCTGCCCTCCAGGATATCCCTGCAGAACACTTGCAGGGACTCTCGGGGTGCTCCCCAGCCCCCAGGGCACTCTGGGCCCTATGGCCACCTCAGTTCAGGCCATGCCATTCATTTCTCAAGCTGGGTGGAGCTTTGCCTTCTAGAAACTTCCACCCACTGGCCCTTCTCCCAACTTCGGGAGTCACATGGACTGGGGCCTCCTCTACCTTCCTCCTGGGAGTGCAGGGGACCCCCAGACAGCACACATGGGCGCTTCCCTGCATCCCCTCCCCTATGCACCCCCACACTGGTCCCCTGAGGCAGGAGGAATTAACCCCATCTTCTGAATGAGGAAGCAGGCTCAGAAATGAGCAACTTGCCCCCATATGCCCAGGTGGCACCCAACAGAGCGGGGAGTCGAGGCCAGGTTTCTCAGACTCTGGGTCTTGTGCTCTTTTTCAGAGCCCTGTTTGGGAATTCCACAAAGGGATGGATTTTGGTGGTCTTAAAGGTGATGAGTGAGAATGGGGGATTGTTTGGCAAATCTGATGGCAAAGGCAGAGAGGAGAGGCCACACCCATGTGGAGCTTGTCCCAGGGGCAGCAGTGGCCCTGTAGGGGTTGTGGGCAGGAGGAAGGGGGAGTGAGGCCAGCAGGGAGGGAAGCTTCTTGTCCCTCCATAAAAAGTCCAGTCTTTATTGTCTAGGTTAGAGGAGGGATACTGGGAGGCTTTGTATGGGCTGAATCATTTTTGTTTCGCCTTTTAAGTTTCATCTACTTGTCAACATTTGAAAGTCAAGAGATTCCATAGAGAAATCCAGGCTCCTGACCTCCCTTGAAAGGTCAGAACATCTGGCAGCAGCAGGCCACCCATTACATGTGGCTGATGCTGGGTGACAGCGTCTCCCTGAGATGGGACATGTGCCTCTGGCGTGCCACAGTCCCCACCACTCCCTGTTACCCCACACCCAGCTGGCTTCCTGTATTCGTATGACTAGCTTGGTGCTTGAAGCATTTTGCTTTTCAGCCCCTGCTGTAGATGACAAGCGGCCCAGCAAGTGTGCAAGCGTATTGAAGTCTGATGATGGCTGAGTGAGCCTCAGGTTCAGTGAGGATTGAACCTGGTTGGAGAGCTGGGCCTGGGCCCCCAGTGTGACTGGCTTCTGGCTCACTCACGCCCTTGAAAAACAGAGTCCTTTCTCCAGGCCTCATTTTCCTTGTCTCTAAAACCAAGCAGGTTGGAACTGTCAGCTTCTCCAGACTGTTCGGTTCCTAATGATTTTGTGTTTGAAGCTGAGCCATGCTTCTAGGTAGGCCAAGGTTGAATATGTGCTCCTAAAAATGAACCTGCTCCTAAGGTTTGCCTGTAAGGCCCCTGGGCATTGCTTGCATTGGGGCATGACACTTTCTGCTTCACTGTCACCAGTTGGCTGTGACCTGCTCACGGCCTGGTCTTTTCCTTCCAGACTCGGGAGCAGCTACAAGCTGATCTGCTGAGGTGTCAGGCCAAAATCGAAGATTTAGAGAAGTTGCTGGTTGAGAAGGGACAGGTGAGCAGGAATGATCTGTGTGTGGATCTTTGCCTTTCTTCTCCTTGGTGGTGTCCCTGGGGCTTGCCCACATGCCAAGGGGGATGTTCTGTGGGGCTGGATCAAGAGCTCCAGAGACACTAGAGGGAAAAACACTAGCAGGACCCAGGCAAGCATGTGCTTCCTAATGTGCCCGTGTGCCAAGTTAAAAAATCAAAACAAGGTATGGATTCTAACTTGGCTTTTTTTTCTTTGTTTGCCAAATGCACAAAAAGATAGGATGTCATTCCAAAAGCAAAGGTGTGATCAGAACTGGTTTTGACTTGAACCTGAAGAAGAGCTGTCATTGCCTAATAAGATTTTAACTGTGAAAGGAACCAGGACCCGTGACTGGCCCTGGGTTAGTGCAGGGGCCCCGCCTCAGGCTTCGTGGTGGCTGGGCTCCCTGCTGTGATTGTGCCTAGAACAGTCTGGCCCTGTACTGCTCAGGTTAGAGTCACCTGTCCCTACCCATCCACTGCATTTGATTAGGCAAGGCCCGGTAGACAAGAAGACGCAGCAGAAAAGCAACACCTGGGCCTAGACCTGTCCCCTGGAGTCGGGGAGACGCCAGAGAGGGCTCTGGGTGGAAATCTGGCCTCTCAGGGGTGGCCTCTGAAGGTTAGTATGGGTTGGCCTGCTCCTTGTCAGAAGCGCGGCCGTGGTGACATAACCAGAGCGTCTCCCTGTATTCTGTTCACACTCCTGTTTCTCCCCGGGGCCTCTCAGGGGTGCAGGGCAGCAGGCATTGCCATCTTGTAGCTGCTGCATCTGGAACCCTTGCTCCGCTCGGCTGTTTGCTGCCTCAGCGAAATCGTCAGTCATGCGGTTCCACTAACCCGAGGAGGGTGTGGGCAGACGGAGCGTCTGGTGGTTCCCGCCCCGCCACCTGCAGGGGGCATCTGTGGGGCCTGAGGAGGCCAGGCAAGGTCTGTCACAGGTCCTAGGCATGGTGGGACGCAGTGGAAGGAGGCAGGTGTGAAGCGAGGGGTGTGTGAGAGGTTCCAGGTGGCTTAACAGAAGCAGCTCCAAAAGAGCAGCACTGCAGAGCTGCAAAGGGCAGGGCTCTGGGTTGAGACTGAGGTTCCCATGGAGGTGGATGGCCAGCGACCAGCATGCATGCCTAGCACAGAGCAGGTCACCACGGCAGCCTTTACCAAGGGACTGCGTGGAAAATGTGAGTGCCCAGCCCTTGGGAATGGCTTCTGTAAACCGTGGTCTGCATCCTCCAGGTGGTGGGATTGTGGCGCGGAGCTCACATGCTGGAGCTGGACGCCTCCTTGTTGCATAAACTTGGGCAACTTACAGAATCTCTTTGTGCCTCAGTTTCCTCGTCTTTAAAATGGGGCTAACAATAAAACCTAACACATTAGGCAGGAGGACAGAGGAGGGCCCAGGAGGAGACAGGGCAGAGATCCAGGTGTGAGATAATAAGGCTTTTTTTTTCTGAGGCTGCCAGCCTCAGTGTCCCTCTTCCAGGCTGAGCCCACATATCTGTAACTTGCCTGATCACAGTCTATGACTAACTTAGCCTCCCCTAGGGGGCTAGGTCCTCTCCGTGTGGCCTGCTTGTCCTCCATGACTGCCGGATGATGGGGCCAGTCTGGGGCAGAGCCTGTGGCTGTTTATCCGGCAAGCACTTCCCAGAGCCCTCGCCGATGCCAGGCCCGTTGCTGGTACCTGGGACGCTGGATCCATTTGCTATTGCTGAGTAACAAACCACCCCAACACTTAGTAATTTAAAACAGCAGGGATTTTATTTGCATGCAGTTCTGTGGATCGGCAGTTTGGGCTGGGCTCAGGCTGAGCACAACCTGCCAGCTGCCGGCCAGGTGCTGCTGCCTCACAGAGGCCCACCTGGCTTCTTTCCTCATGGTTTGAGGACAGGGAAAATGGGCAAGCCCAAGGCCCAAGCAGGGTCCAAGCCTCTGCTCAGGTCACCTCTGCTAATGTCCCAGTAACCAGAGCATGGCACGGCCCAGCCCAGCTTCAAGGTTGGAAAAATGGACCCCATCACCTGCTGGGAGGAGGCACAGAGTCATGTTGCAAAGGGGGTGCACACAGAGAGGGAGGGAGCGTTGCAGCTGTTTCAGCCACAGCCCACCACAGACAAAAGGTTGGGGGAGCACAGCCACGCCTCACAGGTGCTCACAGCCTGACGAGGCCCATACAGAGGTCAGCACTGGGACGACGCAGGTGACAGGTGCCAGGGAGACAGAAGTCTGGAGGCAACCAGGGCCTCTTCTGCATATTCCATGTACTGGGAACCAGATCCTATGCCAGGCCTCAGCTTCTCAGCATTCTGGATCACCCAAACTCGCTGATCCCGGCTGGGCCTGGTCCTTGGGAGGGGCCCGGCCCAGCCCCAGCTCTGTGGCTGCCCAGCAGAGGAGGGAGGAGAGAATTAGAGAGGGCATCCCATGCCTTCACTCATTCCTTCATTCGCCCATTCCAGGACTCACCGAGTCCCCCTATCCCCATGTGCCAGGCTCTGTGCTAGGCTCAGGGTGCCACAGCAACAAGATGGACCTGGTGCCATGTGCTCACCGGACTTAAGCAAGAGGATTTGACCAGGAACAAAAGCGATTCAGTGTGGCTCTGGCCGGTCCGTGGGCTATGAGGTCAGCCTTCCGGATGCATGGAGGGTCTGCCAGTGTGGACCAGTCACCCTGGAGCTCTGTTCTGTAGATTAGACTTACAGAATGAAGTCATGCTTTTGGTAGTGTGAATAAAGTGGAGAAGGGGTGCCCCACAAACCAGCCATTTCTCTTTTTGGGGCTTAGAGGTTGACAAGGACAATGAGGGCACATCACGGCTGTCATTTTCTGTGACTTTCCATAGTCAGTTTCATAGAAAGTGACATTTCTCACTAAAAGTTTGTTGCTTGATCATCTGTTTTCTTCCATGAAAGTGACCATATTTAGTGCTTTTCCTTAGGATTCCAAGTGGGTCGAAGAGAAACAGCTGCTCATCAGAACAAACCAAGACTTGCTGGAAAAGGTGTGTGACCCGCTTCAGGGAAGCACAGAGCCAGGGCACCTGGGACCCTGCAGGCCAGCTCAGACCACACGGGTCATGCCCAGAACCATTTGGGCACTGCAGTGACCGGGACCCTGGGGCCTGCATGCCTCCCACGAGGAGAGAGGTGTTCCTTACATGGAGTCAAAGCCCCATTCGTGGTTCTGTCCTCTGGGACCAGGCCTGCAGAGCTGGTTTAGTTCATCCTTCTGGGGTGCTCCACAGAAATGGAGAGGGCTGGCCTGTCTTCCCAGGCCACCCTGCAGAAATGGGGAGGGCTGCCCCAACCTCTGGGGACACCTGCAGAAATGGGGAGGGCTGCCCTGTCCTCTGGGGACACCTGCAGAAATGGGGAAGGCTGGCCCCAACCTCTGGGGACACCTGCAGAAATGGGAAGAGCTGCCCCATCTTTTGAGGACACCTGCAGAAATGGGGAGGGCTGGCCCGTCCTCTGGGGAAACCTGCAGAAATGGAGAGGACTGGCCTATTGTTGAGCTGGTCCGTCCTCCTGACCTTGGGCTCCAGGCCACCTCTGCTGTGGCTTTAGGGTCCAGAGCCTTTCACCCACCAGTGTGATGGGCACCTGAGGCAGGTCCATGGGCAGATCCTCAGGCCGTCTTAGCCCAGTGCAGCTGACTCATAATGGGAGCTGGGCCTCTGTTCTTTCCTCTCTGGTTGTGGAACTTTCCAGAGCTCTCTTAGGGAGTCTGCTTGGGGAGTAGCTCTAATGCTTTGGGATTCAAACCATAGCTTTTATTTTTTCCTAATTGGTGTACTACCAAATACCAGCTCGGCTGAGAGACCCCCACCCAGGCAGCGCTGAAGGAAATGACAGGCAGACACCCAGACAGAACAACACAGCGGGTCTCTCCGGGGTCCAGCAGCCTGTCGAGCTGAGTGCCTCAGGCTGACAGCATTCCAGGCTGAGGGCCCCGAGCAGATTTTGATCCACCTGCTTATTCTCTCTTAACAGGTGATGATTATTAATAAACAGGTGTTCTGTATTTACTCATAACTCAAAAATATTCCAGGTAGGCAGCTGTTACCCACTTATCACTAATTGCAAACTACAAGGTATTCTCCACAAGGGAGCCCCGGGGGCAAGGTAAACTTAATGTTTCTCAACAGTGTACAATCCAGTTATTCTTTTTGTAAATCCACTGCATTGTGTAACCATCACCACAATGCAGTTTCAGAATGTTTTCAGCCAGGTAAACACCCCTCCTGCCCCTGTGCAGGCCCCCTCTGCCCCGCCTCTCTGCCCCGGACAGCCTCCCTTCTACTCTGTCTTTAGGTTTGCCGTATCTGGAGGTTGCAAGTAAGTGGAGCCAGACCCTAGATTAGGCCTTAGATTTTAAGCCTCCTGGAGCACCAGGACTGGACGAACCTGGTCTGGCCCTTCTGGGGACCTCAACGCAGCCCCCTCTCTGCCACAAACCAGCATGTGGCCCTGTTTCCCTCCCTGCATTTTTCAAGGGCATTTGGGACAGGGGTGGTTGGTGTAGTGCCAGCAGGCCCCAGGCCTTGGGAGAATTTAAGCATCTTTGATCTTGTTCACTAAATTCTGGGAGCCATGGAAAATCCTCACACCCTCACCTCATTTCTTTTTTTTCTTTTTTTTGGCAGTCTTGCTCTGTTGCCAGGCTGGAGTGCAATGGCACAATCTTGGCTCACTGCAACCTCCGCCCCCCGGGTTCAAGCCATTCTCTATCCGCAGCCTCCTGAGTAGCTGGGACTACAGGCATGCCCCACCACGCCCAGCTAATTTTTGTATTTTTAGTAGAGACAGGGTTTCACCATGTTGGCAAGGATGGTCTCGATCTCTTGACCTCGTGATCCTCCTGCCTCAGTCTCCCAAAGTGCTGGGATTACAGGTGTGAGCCCTCACCCCATTTTTAAAGGTCACCTGGGGGTAGGATCACCTGGCAGAAGGCCCCCTCTAGCCTTCTGTAATGGTGCTATGAAGCTTTATGCAAAGCCCTCCTGTACATGCGTTATTTTAATGACTTCTCGCTGCTGCCAGGCAAGGGGTGCTGCTATTTCCCTTCTTGGACAGAAGCTGAGGATGGAGTAGTTGGCTAAGTGACCCAGCATCTCCCAGCTGGTCTGGGATGTAGGCAGTATTGCTTCCCACACTGATCTGTGCTCTCAGGCAACTGCCACCTTTACGGCTTCTTCCTCCAGCTCTGTGGGGAAGCAGGAGGGAGCCTCCCTGCTATAGTTGGCTGGGCCTCTGTCTGGGTGGGCTGAATCTGGTGGGACTTGAGTTGGAAAGACCCAGACAGGCTTTGGGTGTGGCACTCTTGCTTACTGGTATTTGGCGGCAAGGGAGGGACTTAATAGCTCCCTGCCTCAGTTTCACCATCATTCATGTATTCAGCAAATATATAAGTAGCCCCTACTCCACTGGGGCAGACTCAGAGGTGCAGGGGCGAACCTGGCCCGGCTTCTGTCTCCTTCATTCCTAGCCGCGTCAGCAAAAAGGACCTGCAGTGCCTGCCTCATCCACTTGCTTGCTGCAAATCCTGCCCTCTCCTTCCCCTTGCCCCAGTGGCCAGTCCTCTGTTTCCCTCCAGCCACTCAGTCAGATGGCCTGTGATCAGGGACCCCAGTGCTCCCGCCCATCCTGTTAATCTGCAGGTATCTTTGCTCTAGATTTACAGACTGGAAATGGAAGAGAACCAGCTGAAGAACGAAATGCAAGATGCCAAGGATCAGAACGAGCTGTTAGAATTCAGAGTGCTAGAACTCGAAGTAAGAGACTCTATCTGTTGTAAACTCTCAAACGGAGCAGACATTCTCTTTGAACCCAAACTGAAATTCATGTAAAGCTCCCAGATGTTTTCAAGCATGTGTAAAGGGGACATGTTATAGTTTCTTTCTTTCTTTCTTTCTTTCTTTTTTTAAATCTGTATGTTCAGAATAATTTCACTGCCTTAATGTGTTCTGGAGAGAGTGCTCACCCAAGTCTATGGACCTGTACCAGAGCTAATATATTTATTGCCTATGGCTTGTTTTGCACTTAATAAAATAATTTGTTTTTGCAATATTTTGCCTTTTTTATTTGTGTTTCATTTCCATAACTACTTCTTTCCTGCATGCGTAGTCACCGGGTACGCATTCTGCACACCCAGGCGGAAGCACTGTTGCAATGAATAACACACCTTTTTAAGTGATCTTGCATGCAGTAAATCTCACCTTTTGAAATAGCAGAGTCTGACCTGAGCCAGCAATTGACTCTAGAATGTGTTTAGTGCCACTTTGGGCCCATTTTCTATTTGCCAAGGTAAACACAAGGTAAGTGAAGACAGGGCAGAAGGATGTATTTGCACAGGCGTTTAAGAAAACTAGTCAAGTAGTTCAAACTCTTTTATCCAGTAAATACAGACCCAGGCATTGCAGCAATATTGGAATAAAGAAATTACTGTTTGCAACTCAAACTGCAGCTCAGAACTGCTGGAGGGAGATCAGTTGTTGTTCACGTGTAGAAATCCTGTTCCTTCAGGAACTGCCCCAATACACCGAGTGAGATTCAGTGAAAGAATATTGATGGTCTCATTGCCTCCAACTGAAATCTTACCTCGGGTGTGTTACTGTATTGCCTTGCTCTCATGGTACTTCATAATCCTTTTTTTGTTTCTGTTGAAAAATCATTGGCATTTTAAACATCACTTACGTTCGTGATGAGTTTCTCTAAGCACCTGTAGTGGCGCGGCACTGCTGTCTCTCAGCTAAAACCTTTGCATGCGTGAAACCCTCAAAGTGAGCACCTTCACAGTGTTTGTGGCTTCCCTGATTTTGTTTTCTCCTCCCGGCTTGAGTTATGATTCTGTCTGCGTTAGAACTGACCCTGTGTACCTTGTCGTGTGGGCAGGGCAATGTGGCCTGAGTATTTCTCATGCCAAGTGTCACTCAGCTCTTGGCTCAGCATGACATGAGCATTTTATTTGTGCCACAGAATTGGAAGTTATGTGAGGTCGTTGTTAATACTCCTGCCTCTGTTAGAGAACCTTTCACAAAACTTTGTTATGAGTCTTTCTCCTGAGAATTCTATAAGCACTACCCAGTTTACCAGAATGCAATGGCGCGATCTTGGCTCACTGCAACCTCCACCTCCTGAGTTCAAGCGATTCTCGTGCGTCAGCCTCCAGAGTAGCTGGGATTATAGGCACGTGCCACCACACCCAACTAATTTTTGTATTTTTTGTAGAAATGGGGTTTCACCATGTTGGCCAGGATGGTCTCCCTCTCCTGACCTTGTGATCCACCTGCCTCAGCCTCCTAAAGTGCTGGGATTACAGGTGTGAGCCATTGCGCCCTGCCTTTATTTTTATTTTTATTTTTTGAGACAGGGTCTCACTCTGTCACCCAGGCTGGAGGGCACTGATACAGTGTTGACTCACTGCAACCTCTGCCTCCTGTTTTGAGTGATTCTCCTGCCTCAGCCTTCCAATGTAGCTGGGACCATAGGCACACACCGCCTCACCCAATTTTTGTATTTTTGGTAGAATCAGTTTTCACCATGTTGGCCAGGCTGGTCTCAAACTCCTGACCTCAAGGGACCCACCCCCTCAGGCTCCCAGAGCGCTAGGATTACAGGCATAAGCTACCATGCCCAGCCTACTAAATGACTTTTGTTCATATATACTATGAGCTTTTGGGGTCACTTTTTCTACAGAGAGGCCATTTAAGTAAATTTGCTGGTAGAAAGACGTTTGTGGAATCGAACTGTTGTGAATTTTGTTCTTCTTGTCTAATAAGGGAAGTAAGGTTTCTCACTAGACTGTTTCAAACCTGAGTTAGCCAGGTTAGGGCTTCATGGAAATTAACTGAATTAGTGGCCCACCCTCCCCTCCCTCTTTCCTTCAGCCTCACCCTGGAGCATCTTCTTAAGCCCTGCCATCTGGATTCGCGCCTCTCTTGGCTACATCTCTTAGTTGAATTATTTAAGAAGCCCATTGGTTCCGTAGCTAGATTCTGCTGGAATGACCCAAAGTGTGTTATTTTTACCTTACCATAACTTTGATCAAACCAAAGCAGTTGGATTTAAAGGTGTCATTTGAAAAGGTCTTCTCTGCTGCCCCACTGTGACAAATCTAAAGATTTAAAGTCCGTTCTGTGCAGGATACACATCTGAGACAGGTCCTATTCTGGCACTGTGCTTTAGCCCTGTGAGTAATTAGGTTTTCCCGACCCTTTTAAAAGCTTGTCACTTATGGATGATTAATAAACACCTCTTCTGGGAAAAGGCTTGCTCTCCTTCCTCCCTTAGCAATTAATTGAGCTTTGCTGTAAGTCTAAGGGAGGGATAGAACGATCACTGGTTGTGTTCGTGTGGTTAAAAAAAATATTGTGAATGGCATTGGCAGATTGTACGGGGGAGAACAGAAAGCCTTTGGGGCTGGGCGCGGTGGCTCATGCCTGTAATCCCAGCACTTTGGGAAGCCGAGGCAGGCAGATCACCTGAGGTCTGGAGTTCGAGACCAGCCTGGCCAACATGATGAAACCCCGTCTCTACTAAAAAAATTATACAAAATTAGCTGGGTGTGGTGGCACATACCTGTAATCCCAGCTACTTGGGAGGCTGAGGTAGGAGAATCACTTGAATCCAGGAGGTGAATGTTGCAGTGAGCCAAGATCATGCCATTGCACTCCAGCCTGGGTGACAGGAGCAAAACACCATTTTAAAAACAAACAAACAAACGAACAAAACAAAAACAAAAAAAAGAAAGAAAGAAAGACAGGACTTTTGGGTCCTGGCTCTGCCCTGCCGCTCACTAGCGTGGGACCTCAGCCTCAGCCTCCCTGAGCCACCGCCTCTTTGTCTACAGAATGAAAACAATGAGCCTGCCTCCCGGGGTTGTGTGAGGATTAAACAGGACAGTGTTGTGCCTGTCACAGAGGAACCGCAGTTGGCAGCTTTTGCTATAGTCAAATTTAGTGCAGTTATGTTTATTTTGTAATTCTGTGACTTCATGGGTTTTGATCTCACAACAGATAAAGCCATGGTACCTTGTTAACCATTTCTCCCTAGGTGAATAGGTAAGAAGTAACCACATCTCCAAAGGAGAACGGCTGCGTGGGAAGGCGTGAAAACGTCGTAGTTCACGGACGTGGCTGCTTCTTGTCCGAACTTGCGCTTTTTAGTAACATCTGTGCCCACTGGAATTCCTTGGTGTTTGCTGAGTAACGTGGGAAAATGGCAAGTGGTAAATAATCCGGTCACATTCTGTTTTTAAACCGCATCTTTTCCCCAGGAGAGAGAGAGGAGGTCGCCAGCATTTAACCTCCAAATCACCACCTTCCCCGAGAACAACAGCAGTGCTCTCCAGCTGTTCTGTCACCAGGAAGGAGTTAAGGTAGCGTGCCTGGGGGGGCCTCTGCTAAACGCCGGCCAAGGGCTGGCTCAGTGCCCGCCTTAGTCGGAAAGGGGGAGTGCTGGGATAGAACCGATTTTCATGAGATGCTCCTTGTATTGAAAGTCACAGTTTATCCATTTATTGAAGGGTCACCAAATGTGACTGTATTTTGACCCATGTCTTTAAAACAGCAGAGGCTTGGCCTGGAGCCCTGAGCAAGAACCCCACTCCACCACTGCTCTGGCCTGTAAACTTTCTGAGCCTTAGCCTCTTCACTATGCAATCCAAATGACAATACCCACACCATGAAGCTGGGATGATGATGAAGTTAGAGCATGAATGGGCACCAAGGGCCTGGCACTGTGCCTGATGTGCAGTCATGCTCTGTAGACGGTGGCTGCGGGTGCTAGAAGGGCCCGGGGTTTGCCATGTCCTGGAGCCCTGCTCTGCCCCGGGGACAGCGTCCTGACTCACCCGATTCCATGGCCTTCCTAGAGAGCAGTGTTTGTGCTGGGGTAACATTCAGCCAATGAGCAGCAGTTATGCCTTCTCTCCCTCACTCCCCAGAGGAACGGCTGGGCGCAAAACTTGGGCAGAAAAGAAAAGAAAGAGCGCGGTGTCTTGTCCAGAGGAAAGGCCATGGCCCTAGAAATTGGTATGCTTGGTCTCTGTAGCTCACACAAAAATGAACGTTGGAAATCTCTTCCAGGATGTGAATGTTTCTGAACTTATGAAGAAATTAGATATCCTTGGCGATAACGGGGTAACTATGAGCGATCGGTTTCCGGTTTCGTGTTCTTGTTTTGACCTGGGTGTATTCTGTGTGACTTTTGTTTTGTTTTGTTTTTAATTTCTCTCTGATGAAAGAGATCTAAGAAGTACAATGTAAGGCTTTTGTATGGCCGTGTTCCTATGTGGGTGGCGGGGCTGGTATTCGTCAGAAGTGGGGTTTCGAAGTTAGGTTCTCCTGGCCTGTGAGTGAGGAGGGGACAGAAAGGCCTGAGAACCCCTGCCCAGAATGCAGGTGGGATCACTTGAGATTGCTGAAATCAGAAAGTGATCTTTTTGCCCTCCCGAAAGATGAGCTTGAACGTAGCCATGTTTCACAAAAGCTTAGTGCCACTCCATGAAATGTCCCCAGCCAGAGGGACAGTAGCTGTCTGCCTGATGCGCTGGCCCCATTAGCGAGAGGAGCTGACCCTCGGGTGCAGCCCAGAGAGGAGCTAAGAAAGTTGCTTGGTGTTGGCCGGGCATGGTGGTGCACGCCTGTAATCCCAGCACTTTGGGAGGCCGAGGTGGGTGGATTACCTGAGGTCAGGAGTTCGAGACCAACCTGGCCAACATGGCAAAACCCCATCTCTACTAAAAATAAAAATAAAAAAAAAAATAAATTATCTGGGTGTGGTGGTGGGCATCCCAGCTACTGTAATCCCAGCTACTTGAGAGGCTGAGGCAGGAGAATCACTTGAACCCGGGAGGCGGAGGTTGCAGTAAGCTAAGATTGCGCCACTGCACTCCAACCCAGGTGACAGAGAGAGACTCTGTCTCAAAAAAAACAAAAAGACTTGCTTGGTGCTGACTGTCTGCACATGGATTTGGGATCCAGTGTCAAATGCCCTTGCCCATTTTTGTGTTTTAGAATTTGAGAAATGAAGAACAGGTTGCAATAATCCAAGCTGGAACTGTGCTTGCCCTGTGTGAAAAGGTAGAGGCCAGCGGCATTTCTGTGCTCACACCTTGTCCCAGCTTCCTAGCACCATACAAGAAACTGTACATTGGCGTCTTGCTTTGCGTGGGAGCATGCGTTCCAGTCAGTCTGCGTCTGCATGTGCACATGCATGCCTTTTCCGTTTTCTGAAGGAAGTCACACGTGCTCACTGTAGAAAACCCAGAGGCGCAGGAGGAAATCAAAACCTAGTGGAGGAAACAGTCTCACATTTGTATACTTCCCTCCAGCTGTTTCCTTACATCCGGTTTTTAAACTTAGTCGAAATGATACCTGGCATCCAGTTTTCAGTCAGGCTTTAGAAACATCCTCTGTGCCATTTAACGTGGTTCACAAACGTGTTTAAATGGCTATGCATCTCTCCATCACACCATTATCCTGTTAGTTACTGAAGCCTCTCTTAGCTGTTAGATATCGGAGATGTTTCCATTTTTTTTCTTTCTACAATCATGCAGTGGTAAACTGCATATGTTTTACACATAAATTTTTATCTATGTCTTAAAATATACCCATAAGTTAGATTCTTGAAGCAGAAACATTGGGCCAAATGGTAAGAATGCCTTGGAAGGCTTTGTCATTGTCAAAACAGTGTCCAGAAAAGTGGCACCAGGTACCCCTCTACCTGCAACTTACATGTTGTTGATTTATGCTTGACATGGCACGTTACTGCTGAAAAGAACTTTGCGGACTTGATGGTGAAAACTCAATCATGTCATTGTTTTCATTTTTATTTGAGTGCAGTGATACTGAGTTTTTTTTTTTTTTTTTTTTTTTTTTTTTTTTTTTTTTTTTTTTTTTTTTTTTTTTTTTTTTTGACGTGTATTATCTATTTTCTTCTCCTTCCTTGTGAATTGTAATTACATTTCTTTTGAGGAGTTTCCACTGGGTTTGTTCACCCATCCATCCATCCATTCATTTGACAAATATGTATTCATTATCACTTTCTTACTGATTTCTCTGCGTGCTTTACATATTAAAGATATGACCTTTTTGACCTGTTTGTTACAAAATACATTCCTGATTTGTTTGCCTTTTACATTGGTTTAGGATGTGTTAGAAATACACAACTCTTTATAGCTAAAGACCTTTTCCTTTCAAAGCACATGAGTCCAACATTTAAATGCTATTTTTGTGGTGATGAGGTCTTCATGATCTTAGTTAACGATTCATTCCAGAATCTCTGGAATGAATTAAAATATAGATAGTTTTTTTCCCAGGGCATCTGTTCAACCGCTCAATCAAGTAAAGGATACTAAATGTTGGTAACAGACTTGTGGCCAAACCTTGTCCAAGGTCACACTGGTAGGCAGTGGCAGAGGATTGGAGCTCAGCTTTCCCGTTCCTCTCATCACTGGCTGAGCTTGCATCCTCAGGTGAACTGTGGGATGGGGATGACTCACACCTGGCCGGCGAGTGGCCATCAGGTGCAGGTGCGGGGCAGGGCACGTGGGGTACATTCAGCACACCTTCCTTTCCAGCAGCAAAACCCTCCGTGGAGGTCTAGGCTCCTCCAACTGTGCTCATGTAGAGTCACACAAAGTGCTGATAAACACGTGTGACACTTATGACTCAGTTCATTCAACACCCCCTGGAACATTTACTGAGAAAGAGTGTCTTAGTGTCAAGGGCTGAGCACGGCCCTGGGAGACGTGGAGATGCCACATCCGCCAGTGTCTGCTCTGACGTCAGGGAGGCCTCTCCTGGCTTGGGTCTTGGCCACACCACTTGCCAGCTGCAGGGGTTTTGGCCCATTTCTCGCCACGTCTCCCTCAGCCATGACACCGAGCATCCTGGTGACACACAGTGTCTGTCGGAATCTGGGAGTCTGCATATTTCGGTGGGATAGAGCATTGCCATCTGGTTCAACCAAGCACCTGGGGCCGTGCTTGCTTCCTGGAGATGCTTGGTCAGTGCCTGTGGACTGGGTGAGCAAGGAGCAGGAACCTGCTGGTGACTCAGGGTGGCTGGTTTGTGACAGGGCTGGGGCGGAGGCTGTTGGAGGACTAGGCCACTAGCTGGCAGGAGGCTTTCAGCCTCTGTGAGAGCTGCCCTCTGCAGGGCACTGAATTCTCCCACCTGAGCCATTCCTAACATGACCCTCCCCACGCCCAACCCACAGCCGGTGTTCCAGGCCTTCACCTTAGGTCCTCAGGGCTCCTCATCCTCTGGGCATCTGGGAGATTAGCAGCCCCCTAGGATTGAAGAGGTGGAGACTGTCTGGCATCCGGCCACTGTCTGCCTTGACCCTCTCCCTGCTCTGCTCAGGCAGCTGCCCACCTCCCCGCTTGCACCCTGCCCACCCCCAACGTCATCTGCCTGCCCCTGACCACCAGCCTCCCCAAGCTGGTCAGCCCGGCACCATGCCTTGTGCCCTTCATGCCAGAGAGCCGTGCCAGCCGCCCTAGCCTGCCAGCCCCTCACATCTCTGACTGACGGTTCTGAGCCTGGCACAGAGGTGCCCAGCTTCCTGTCTTTGAGGACTGGACGTAAACCAGAGTTTTCTCAGGTTGGGTTCTGGGAGACACTGGTCCTGCCATTTGTCTGTGGGTAAAGGTCCAGTAAGCTTGGGAGTTGCCGTTCATCTTCTCCAGGCTTGGAGAGGATGTTGGTATGAAAGCTCTTCAGGTTCAGAGGTGGACCCTCATGTGAGGTGGGAACGGGGTCTGCAGGACCCCCAGAGAACCTGGCCAGACCACTAGGGGACTGATGGTCCACTTTGCCTGGGACTGACAGCTTTCCTGGGATGTGAGAATTGCAGTGCTAAAACAGGGACAGTCTTGGGCCAACAGTCCCAAGCTGGTCACCCTAGAGGTGACGGGCACTGCAGGGAAGTTTGCAGAGTGGTTGGGCACCTGCAGTGTCACTGCCAGAGAAGGCTTGATGCCAGGCCCCAGTTAACCCCTGCTCCACTAAATACAGAGTCTCTCTCTGTCACCCAGGCTGGAGTGCAATGGCATGGTCTTGGCTCACTGCAGCTTCTGCTTTCCAGGTACAAGCAATTCTCCTGCCTCAGCCTCCTGAGTAGCTGGGACTACAGGCGTGTGTCACCACACCCAGCTAATTTTTGTATTTTTAGTAGAGATGGGGTTTCACTATGTTGGCCAGGCTGGCCTTGAACTCCTGACCTCAGGATCTGCCCACCTTAGCCTCCCAAAGTGCTGAGATTACAGGCATGAGCCACTGCACCTGGCCACAAAATATTCCTTATTTTAAAAATTGTCATTCCATACTGGTATCTGAATAAGGGGAAGTCAATGTTAATGTTCCCTTAGAGGTATGATTATTTTTTTCTTCCTTGAGACAGACCTCTCACTCTGTCACCCAGGCTGGAGTGCAGGCACGGTCTTGGCTCACTGCAACCTCTGCCTCCCGGGCTCAAGTGATTCTTGTGCCTCAGCCTCCTGTAGTTGGGATAATAGGTATCCACCAAGACACCTGGCTAATTTTTGTATTTTTACTAGAGACAGGGTTTCTCCATGCTGGCCAGGCTGGTCTCAAACTGCTGATCTCAAATGATCCTCCTGCCTTGGCCTCCCAAAGTGCTGGGATTACAGGTGTGAGCCACCTCACCTGGCCTCGAAGCCGATTTCTTAGTGTATAGGTGAAGCGCAACCTGAAGGAACGTCCTATGATGTGCTTGTGTTGATTTTGCTGCAAACAGCATCTTGCCCCGGGCACATGCCTTCCTCATCACCACCCACTGAAGCCCTGCCCGGTTTTCAGGGCACAGGCATCCATCCTGGCGCCCATCAGCTGTACTCTGGTTAGCCGGGTACAGGACCAGGGCAAGGTCTCACTCGCCTCAGCACATGGCATGAGCCCCGCAGAGAAACTGAACCATGAGACATTGGAGGCTTTACGGATCGTAACGGTCACATCTCTTCTCCCTCACGTTCCAAATGGATTGAGAAAAAGACACAGGCTCAGCCAGGTGGGAATGTTTTAAAGGCCGTGTTCTCGCTGGTAATGGTGGATTGGAGAATGAGGCGTAGGTCTGAGCATAGTCAGACTTTCTAATAGTTGGCCTCAAGCGGAAGCCTCGGGACCCTCCCCAAAGGGAGATGGGAGAGCTGTAGGGGACCCAGGCCCTGCACCCAAGGAGCCCTGGGAGTTGGGGTGCAGAGAGCGGACCCCACCCTACAGCAGGCTGCCCCCACGAGGTTGCTCAGTTCCTGCTCAGCACCTGCCGGTGGGTGGACTCACGTCTCCTCCCCAGCACGAGACCCCCGTCTCCAGGGCTTGGAGCAGAACGACGAGCACTGTTTCTGCTGGGAGTGATTGAAACTCCAGAGCTATCTCGCCAAACTCTTTGATATTAAATCTCTTTCTATCTTTCTTTTTTTTTTTTAGACAGAATCTAGCTCTGTCTCCCAGGCTGTAGTGCAGTGGCGTCATCTCGGCTCACTGCAAACTCCGCCTCTAGGGTTCAAGTGATTCTTCTGCCTCAGCCTCCTGAGTAGCTGGGATTACAGGCACCCGCCACCACGCCCAGCTAATTTTTGTATTTTTAGTAGAGACGGAGTTTCACTGTGTTAGCCAGGCTGGTCTCGAACTCCTGACCTTGTGATCTGCCTGCCTCATCCTCCCAAAGTGTTGGGATTACAGGCGTGAGCCACTGTACCTGGCCTGATATTAAATTTCCAATCTCACATGGCCGGGGTCCTCGTGGCCAGCTCTCTCTGCTCCCATGCTGTCTCTCAGTTGCTGACAAGGACTTGCTAAATTTATTTTTTATATGCAATTTGTTAAAGGACAGCAACAACAAAGCTCAACACTGTGTTCTGTAGAAACCGTTCTGAGAGCAGCTTGTTGTAATCATCCAAAACTGGATTTCCCATTTTAATTGTATTCATTTTATGACTGCTTGCATTAGGATATTAAAAATGAAATGCCTGTAACTCCTCATCCAAAATATGCTTATCTGTTTCTAAGAAAACACGCATCTTATCTGAGCCATGTTTGAGGAAGTGCTGGCCACTGTGGCTGGCACAGGGTGCTGGGTGCTGCCACTGCGGCTGGCACCAGAACCCGCACTGGACCGAGCTCACCGTGACGTTGGGGAGGGAGCTCTGTGACAGCAGCCGATCAGCTCCAGCCCTCTCTGCACAGCCATTACACACCATACCAAGCTGCACACCCTCCATCCTCCTTCATTCTACAGAAGTTTGTTAGGCATCTGCTGGTGTCAGGCCCGTGCCAGGCAAGGAAGTCCAACAAGAGGCAAGTGTGGGCCCCACCTTCAGAGGGGTAGTGGGGTTAGGGGGGAACAGACAACAGTGCCTGCTAGGTGAGTGCTGTGACTAGACATTCACAAGATGACTGAGGTGGGCATCATGGAGGGGAGCTGACCCCATGGACTCAAGCAGAGTAGGCTTCCTGGAGGAGGTGACAGCTGGCTCAGGGCCTGAAGACTGAGTGATGCTAGCTCAGTGAAGGTCTGGGGCTGAGGCTGGAACCAGGAGAGGTAGGGACAGCACGTGGAAAGGCCAGGCATGTTCGAGGATGACCAGGGCCCTGGATTTCAGCAGGGATGGGAGAGTGCTGAGTGACAAGGCTGTGGGCGTTGCAGGAGCCACCCTATGCTTTGGACTCGCCAGTGTTGTCAGGAGTGAGGGGACATCTTTGGAGGGCTCTGAGCAGAGCAGGGAGGTTCCATGAGTCGATGTGTGCTTTTTATGGAACTTGTTGGCTGGGGGGCAGAAAGGGATTTGGGGTGTGGGGGGTTCAGACATGAGCCCAGGAGCCGAAAGGGGAATGAGGGGGAGTTGATGATGGGGAGGGAGAGCTGTGGGTGGGTCTGAGAACTGGAGGCAGAGCCAATATGTTGGAAGTGGAGGGAAGGAAAGAGGGGGCACTCTTCTGCATCAGGGGTCCTGGGAGGCCCTGGAGGGGCCTTGAAGGCTTGGGAGTGGAGGGTGCAGGAGGCAATGGCACAGGACATGGTGAGGCAGATCTGGGTGGGAGACCTTTCAGAGAGGGTAGGTAAGGTGGATCCTGGGGGAGGGCAGAATAAGGGAGAGAAGGGCGAGGGCAGGCCTCCAGGACCTCACTAATGCAGTGTGGCCCAGTGGGTGACCAGCTGCCGCCAGAGGAGTACAAGGAAGCTAGGGGAGCCTGGGGTTGGGAAAGGGGGCACTCTGCAGCCGGGGTCTGCGGTCAGGAAAGGGGGCACTCCGCAGCCGGGGTCTGCGGTCAGGAAAGGGGGCACTCCGCAGCCGGGGTCTGGGGTCAGGAAAGGGGGCACTCCGCAGCC